ATTACATTACATTACATTACATTACATTAGAATATTACATTAAGTTATTATGAGAATACAGCATGCAACCAGGCAGTGCGGTGATCATACTGGCCGACGCATAGCGTACTTGTATGAATGCATACTTTATAGAATTCTAGAGATAAACATATTGATACAGTAATACGTGCTTGTAGTAATAATTTAATGAAAGATAAGTACCCCAAATAGCAACTAGAAACGTTTTGGGTTGTGTGAAAGTTGCGCCCAGTGACGGGATTCTTCTATTCATCAGGCATTGATAAGGCTTGTACGTCTGAGGTGAACAGAGAAATGTTTTCACACGTGACGTAAATACGATGCATATTTATCAAATAAGGAAGACATTCGAACTCGTCAGTAACACTTCCGAGCATATTTTTACTAATCCAGTACGGTTTTCATTGTTGGATGTATAATAATTATTTTTATTTTCAGAACGTGACAGATTATATTGATAATCACATACGAGACAATCCTGAGCAATCACCAGTTCTTTCAAAGTCACTGAAGGGATATCTTTACATGTCATCTCTTAACTCGTCAATGGAAAAAAACCCTAAAGAAGCCCTTGACTGGTTTCAGAAGGCACTTGAAGAAAATGCGAAAGAAATGGAAGATATAAAAGATGGACCAGTAGGCGACAGGATGATAATTCTGGCTAATAAAGCACGTACTTTATTACTTCTTGGTGAGAACACCGAGGTCGAAGAGATTATCGACGAACTCATCCAGTTGAAAAAGGATCACGATTCAGCCAAGGTAAAGGCATATCAACAAGCACACCAAGCCTTTGCAATGCATTGGTTTGGCCCAATGAAAAATAAAGACGCGAAATCTCTTTTCGTCGATGCTCTCAAAGAATTCCCAGAGAAAGAATCTTGGTTATTTGGGTATGCTAGATTAATAGACAAAGGACGTAATTTTTCACGGTCACGAAATATGAAACAGGAAGCTTCCCACGAAGAAAAACTTTACCGTCAAATAATAACAATTAATCCTAAAAACACACTTGCTAGGGTGTACTTAGCAAGAAAGCTAGCTGAAAAGGGATCTGACTGGGAGGCCAAACATCATTTTGAGAAAGCAATGCAGTATGGGGAAGATAAATTAATAGTAGTTCAAAGAATTGCCGAAAATTATAAATGGAAAAATAAATTGGATGAAGCGTTGGAGTGGTTTGAAAAGGCTTTGAAACTTGAACCAGACTCTGCTTTTGTCCATTTACAAATGGGATCTATTTATAAAACGAAATATGAAAATGCGAAAAAAGTAGGTGAATTAAGTCCTGAATCGCCAAATGAAAATCTGAAAAATGCCATAAAATATTTTGAACTTGCTATGAAGGAATCTAGTGGGAACAACCCTCGTGCATTGTCAGAGGCTGCAAGTGCTTATGTAGAGATGGGAGACAAGATTAAAGCCAAAGAAATTTACCAAAAAGCATTAAACACAGCGGATGATGAAGACAGATCTGCTGCACACTTTCAATATGCAGAATTTCTAGATAATCATTATAAAGAGGATAGCAAAAAAGTAATTGAGCACTATAAAAAAGCACTGTCAGCAAACTCATGTTGCTATAAAGGAAAAGAAGCAGGTAAACGAGTCCTCCAGAAAATGTCAGAGGAATTATCTGTGAAACAAAGCAACACAAAGGCTCTAAAAACAATGGCCTCTATCTGCGCAAAAATTGGTCA